AGGGGTGTGTGGGGAGTGTGTGGGTGAGGCATGTGAGGGGGAGTGTGTGAGGGAGTGTGTGGGGGAGTGTGTGTGGGTGAGGGGTGAGGGGTGTGTGTGTGAGGGGCGTGAGGGGGAGTGTGTGTGGGGTGTGTGTGAGGGGGAGTGTGTGGGGGGGAGTATGTATGGGAGTGTGTGTGGGGTGTGTGGGGTGTGTGGGTGTGGGGTGTGTGTGTGGGGGAGTGTGTATGGGGGAGTGTGTGAGGGGTGTGTGGATGAGGGGTGTGTGGGTGAGGGGTGGTGGGTAAGGGGGTGTGTGGGTGAGGGGTGTGTGGGTGAGGGGGTGTGTGGGTGAGGGGTGTGTGGGCGAGGGGGTGTGTGGGTGAGGGGGTGTGTGGGTGAGGGGTGTGTGGGTGAGAGGGTGTGTGTGTGGGGGAGTGTGTGGTTGATGGGGTGTGATGGCGTTGCGTGGATGATTGTGCAAGTGGCGTTAGTGAGTGTAGTCTGTGGATGCGTGCGGGTGTTTGGTGAGGGCTGGGTGTGGGGTTTCGGGGGTATGTGAGGACATGCATGGGGGTGTGGTGTGCCAGGGGGTGGGTGAGTGGGTGGGCGAGGGGGTGTGCCAAGGGGTGGGTGAGTGGGTGGGCGAGGGGGTGTGCGAGTGGGTGAGCGAGGGGGGGGGTGTGCGAGGGGGTGGGTGAGTGTGTGGATGTTGTTGCGAGCGAGCGGAGGGGTTGCGTGGCCCCTCGGAGTTTGGACCGCGTGGCAGGATGCCCGGGGCCCCTCTCCCCTCCTCCTCCTCCCCCGTCTCCTCCTCCTTCCCCTCATCCCATGGACGGGGTCCGCGCGAGGGGATCGCCATTCGCGCGGTCCGCGCCGTGAGGAGAGGAGGCAGAGGCCATGATGCGGGCAGTGGCGCGGGGGCTGGCGCGGGCGGGAGGGGGGGGTCGGCAGGGTACGGGGCAACCACCACAACCACCACAACATAGCCACAACAGCCACAACCACCACCACAACCACAACCACCACAACCACCACCACCACAACCACCACAACCACACAACATAGCCACCACCACCACAACCACCACAACCACACAACATAACCACCACCACAACATAGCCACAACCACCACACAACATAGCCACAACAACCACAACCACCACCACAACCACCACAACCACCACCACCACAACCACCCACAACCACACAACATAGCCACCACCACCACAACCACCACAACCACACAACATAACCACAACCACCACCACAACAGCCACAACCACCACACAACATAGCCACAACAACCACAACCACCACCACAACCACCACAACCACCACCACCACAACCACCACAACCACAACATAGCCACCACCACCACAACCACCACAACCACACAACATAACCACAACCACCACCACAACATAGCCACAACCACCACACAACATAGCCACAACAACCACAACCACCACCACAACCACCACAACCACCACCACCACAACCACCACAACCACACAACATAGCCACCACCACCACAACCACCACAACCACACAACATAACCACAACCACCACCACAACATAGCCACAACCACCACACAACATAGCCACAACAACCACAACCACCACACAACATAGCCACAACCACCACAACCACCACACAACATAGCCACAACCACCACAACCACCACACAACATAGCCACACCCACCACAATCACCACACAACATAGCCACAACCACCACACAACATAACACCACCACCACCACAACCACCACAACATAACCACAACCACCACACAACATAGCCACCACCACACAACATAGCCACAACCACCACAACCACCACACAACATAACCACAACCACCACACAACATAGCCACAACCACCACACAACATAACACCACCACAACCACCACAACATAACCACCACCACCACCACAACCACCACCACACAACATAACCACAACCACCACACAACATAGCCACCACCACACAACATAGCCACAACCACCACAACATAACCACCACCACCACCACACAACATAGCCACAGCCACCACAACCACCACCACACAACATAGCCACAACCACCACAACCACCACCACACAACATAGCCACAACCACCACCACAACATAACCACAACCTCCACACTATATAGCCACAACCACCACACGATATATCCACAACCACCACACTACATAGCCACAACCACCACACTCACCACACGACATATCCACAACCACCAAACTACATAACCACCGCACTACCTAACCACAACCACAACACTACCTAACCACAACTACCACACTAACCACCACACTACCTAACCACAACACATAACTACTCCCACAACACATAACTACAACCACTCCATGCCCACCATATCCACCGTAATCACCCCAATCAAACCACAATCACAACCAATTCTACTGCAACCACTTTAACCACATTTTAACCGCAGCATAACTAAACCACAGCCACTTGAAGCGCAGCACCATTATCACCACAACCACACTGAGCATAAACCACATCAACCACCACAACAAAACTGCAACACAACCGCACCTTAAACACCACCACCACCACGCCTGTCACAATCACCTCATTCACATCACAACTACACTACAACAACCTTAACCACACACTTGGGTGTTCATGTGTATTTGTTTGCGCGTTCATGCGTTGTGCTGGGTGTTCACTCTAGCGCCGGTGTTCATGTGTAGTTTTGTTTGGTGTCCATGGGGAGTGCTGGGTGTTCGTGTGTAGTGCTGGGTGTTCATGTGTAGTTGTGGGTGTTCATGCTTAATGTTGGGTGTTCACTCTAGCGCTGGTGTTCATGTGTAGTTGTGGGTGTCCATGGGGAGTGCTGGGTGTTCGTGTGTAGTGCTGGGTGTTTGTGTAGTTATGGGTGTTCATGCTTAATGTTGGGGGTTCACTCTAGCGCTGGTGTTCATGTGTAGTTGTGGGTGTCCATGGGGAGTGCTGGGTGTTCATGTGTAGTTGTGGGTATTCATGCTTAATGTTGGGTGTTCACTCTAGCGCTGGTGTTCATGTGTAGTTGTGGGTGTCCATGGGGAGTGCTGGGTGTTCATGTGTAGTTGTGGGTGTTCATGCTTAATGTTGGGTGTTCACTCTAGCGCTGGTGTTCATGTGTAGTTGTGGGTGTCCATGGGGAGTGCTGGGTGTTCGTGTGTAGTGCTGGGTGTTCATGTGTAGTTGTGGGTGTTCATGCTTAATGTTGGGTGTTCACTCTAGCGCTGGTGTTCATGTGTAGTTGTGGGTGTTCTTACGTGGCATGCTGGGTGTTCACCCTGCTGCAGTGCGTGCCCTGCATGGTCTGGCCAGTGCAAGCAGCCCGGCCGAGCCGCCCACCCTGCCACCCTGCAGCTTCGAGCCTCAGCCCTACGAGGTATGTGTATGCCCTTGTTATGCACACACCTTGCACCACATGGAGACGTGGAAGACCTGATGAAGATATTGGCATCTCCGTGGCTCCCGGCTCCCAAACCCTTTCGTTATGAGTCGGCACCGATGCACTCCAGCCATTCGCCGCTCGCCAGTCCCCTCCTGACCACTCTTTTATCGCTACTACAACAACGGTTACCTGGTCCCGTGAACTTAACTCATTGATTCCTCCTCCCGTGATGAGGACTCTACTACCTGTCCTGTGTTCAGCCACCACCGGCCACTGCAAGTCTCGCTTCTGTCTCTGCTTGTTCCCACCCTTGCTCAATTCAAGAAACGTGTTACGCACTTAATCTGTAATGACTTTGATAGTGCTGTTTGTTGCCGACTTGTGCTCATGAAGCGCGATTTAAAATCAACAAACGCTGGGTTTTGAGGTCGTCCAGGAGATGGCAGCACAGTGTCTCCGTGCAAGCCCTTGTCAATGTACAGAGACTCCTCTACTTACGAACTTTCAGAGATACGAACAGTGGCGGCTCCTGCAAAATCTCTCAGGGGGGGCAAATGTCTGGATGATTGATAAGGATAAGGTCCACCCATGCAATGGATAAATTAACAGCTTAAGCATGTAAAGGCAACTTCACTTATTTAATATTAATGAAAAATAAAGTGACTCTTACAATACATCTTGTTTGTTTCTATACTCACTATTAAAACAAACCACTCAAGTTTCTTTTATTAAAGATTCCACTAGGTGGCGACAAATTATATTGTTGGATGAAACGTGCTTACGTATGATGACGTAAGCACGTTAGGGCGAGCCCTCCCGGAAGCCATAGAGAATGCATTGCAGCGCCCCCGTTCGAAAAAAAACATCTTTGAATGTAAGTCTATGGGGCCACTCGGGGCGATTCTCAGCGGAGGGAAATCGCCCAAAAAGAGGCGGTACTCCACAGAACGTAGCATGACGCTGATTGGACTATATCCAGAGGCACAGTGACGGCTAGCGTGACTCTGTGGTTGAATGACATTGGTGGTGCGTCGCCCAATCGCCCTAATGAAGAAACCGCCCCTGGATACGAACAAAGCGGTCCGATTGTCCAGGTGCCTGATTGGACCAATAGTCGTAAGTTCAACCGCCGCGCAAATCGATGGCGGTGGTGGCATCTACATCTGCAGAACGTGAAGAACCAGTGGCATCTTCAGCTACAGGAGATTATACAACTTTTAAAGCCATTCCTCGTCTTTAGTGTACATGTCGTACAATGAGCAAAGTTGTACTTACGAACACATCGACTTATGAACAGACCTGGAACCTAACTCGTTCGTAAGTAGAGGAGTCTCTGTATATGGGCCTCTGTGTAAGTCAATGAGTATCTCTATAGGTTTATGTACGTGCCGTATATGGGACCCCCTATATAAGCCTGTGTGAGTGCATATGTTTACGTGGGTTAGTGTATGGGTAATGTGTGCAAGTATAGGAAGGTGTCTTTGTAAACGTCTATGTAAGCGTAAGACATTGCCACACACGTCAGCTGTTATACAGGGTGGCACAAAAGTCGAGTCACAGGGTTATTATATTATTTTAACAAGTCACAGGGTTATTATATTATTTTAACAAGTCACAGGGTTATTATATTATTTTAACAAGTCACATAGGGTTATTATATTATTTTAACAAACTTAATTTGGAACTTTCGTGACTTCAGGAATTACTCTTTGGTTCTTTCGGTAAAGTCACGTATAAAGAGAAAATAATAAATTAAATACTAGCATACGACGTTTCGATTACAACACAAGCAATCATCATCAGGTATAAATGAAATAGAAACACAAATCTAGTATACTTAGAAATGTAATGTAATACAACAGAGTCGGATAACACAACAGTCAACACCCTACCTGGTTGATTACGTTCTTCCTGAGAATGCTAAATTTGAGAGAGAGATAAAACACAGAACCAGATACATATAGACAGACATATAAGCAGACAGATACCACAGAGATACATAGAGAGAGACACATACATCACAGAGATACATAAAGAGAGACATACATAGGCACACAGTGTGCCTATGTATGTGTCTCTCTCTATGTATCTGTGATATGTCTGCTTATATGTCTGTCTATATGTCTCCGGTGTTGTGTTTTATCTCTCTCTCAAATTTAGCATTCTCAGGAAGAACGTAATCAACAGGGTAGGGTGTTGACTGTTATGTTATCCGACTCTCTGTTGTATTACATTATATTTCTAAGTATACTAGATTTGTGTTTCTATTTCATTTATACCTGATGATGATTGCTTGTGTTGCAATCGAAACGTCGTATGCTAGTATTTAATTTATTATTTTCTCTTTATACGTGACTTTACCGAAAGAACGAAAGAGTATTTTTTTTAACAAGTCACATAGGGTTCTCATTTATGTTTACGAATATTGCAACCAAATGCCATGAATATTAATGCATAATTTTCATTTTGAAATTTATTCAGGACTTTGTAAAGATTGCAACTGCCTTATTTAGCATACGTAAAACAAACCAAATTTAACTTGTTCGTCTTTGGTAAAACAATTTCCATTTTTAAATGTCGCCTGAAAAGGAAGAAGAAACATTGATATTAATAACGATAATAGATACAATATTAACTTAACGAATAAACAAATACAATGTGTTCATGCCCGGTGTTAAAATAACCCCACGTGTCCTGAGTTTTGGGCCACCCTGTTTGCTGTATACTCCTTTTAAGGCCACAATATCATTGCCGAATGTGTTGGGTTGTATGTAAGCTTAAGGGTCTCTAAGTAGTAATATGGATCTTTATTAATGTCTATGTAAATCTACGTACGGAGCGAAAGAAGTTCAACATACATATACACACATGGGGTTTTATGTGACTATGGGCCTTGTGTGAGTCTGTGGGTCTCTATGGAAGTCTGGGTTTTTTCTTATATTTATCGGGAAATCCGTTGGGATGGATCATCTAATTTGCAAGGGTTTATGTAATTATATATATCTCTTTGTAAGTATGTGGGTCTCATTGTAAGCCCATATAAGTCTTTGTTCTTTATGTAAGTTCATAGGTCTCTGTATAAGGCTATGTAAATATCAGGATCTCTAAGTAGGTCTAGGGCACTCTATGTAAGCCTATATGTCTCAATGTAAGTGTATCAGTCTCTATACTTGTAAGGCTGTGCCAATCTGCATCTCAATATACGTCGTACGAGTCAAGTTGTAAAGGCTGTTCAAGTCTATGGGTCTCTACGTGAATCTATACTGTCTTGCGGCACTGCTTTCCTTATTTGATCCCAGGTCTCACCTGCTTCCATGGTCACAATTTCTCTCTACTGGCAAGAATGTCCTTGCTCAGCGAGTGGTGTACTTCACCGTGACTGGAGACTCTGTGCGTTTGGCTTCGGGCCATCCAAACCCAAGCAAAGCTTTGCCCAAACATTCATTATCTGTCGATACAAGCCACGATGCTGTACAATCATTCATCAGAACAATCATGCACAGAGTAATGATTTACTACTGCGGCATATGCCTCCACCGTAAAGGATCGTGCGTGGACACTGAAAGCGCTGACCGCTATGCTATTACACTGTCAGGCTCTAGGTGCCTCTAAGCCGGGGAGGGGGTGGGGGGTAAATTCCTACTGCTGCCCTGTATTACCAAAGTGTGATGTCCGAGCGCTGAGACGACACGGCTGAGATCGTGGGTCCAAATGGGAGTTTTGGCCACCCATGATTAAACCGGGTTCAAATCGGGCTTAATCACAGGATCTCTCTTGCTCAGCGAGAGGTTTAATCACAGGCTGAAAAGTCTGGAACGCTGTTCTGAAAAAAAAGATTTGACACGCCACATCCATATTACCTTATTTTTACTATTGGATGCCTATGCATTCATAGGATTATAGGAATAGAGGACACAAGAATATTGCATCGTTATGGATAAGGTATACCTTGTACTACTAGTGGTAGTGCCTTACGCCGATAATCCCTACATGAAAGCCAGTCTATCAGTGGCATTCCGAAAAAAATATCGAGTGAGAAATCAAGCACTTCACAGAATGCCACTTTAGCACTTGTGTGTGTGGTTGTGTGGTGATGTTTGCGCAGTCTATGAGCTATGAGCGGATGTGCGCCGTGCGGAGCGCCCACCTCAACCCAGCGCTGGTGTCGTACTTCTCGCGGCCGCTGCTGCTGCACCAGGGGCACATGCAGTGGCTCTGGGACGAGCACGGGCGCCGCTACCTCGACTTCTTTGCTGGCATCGTCACAGTCAGCGTGGGGCACTGCCACCCGTGAGAATATAGGGCACGCAGGGACATGGCGACAAAAGGAGGCACACGGACATGGGCACACGGGGACTTGGAGGAAATACTGGACATGTTTAAAACAGGGTACGAGAGGAAACGGGGGAACGGGTGACACAAGGGTAAACCTAGTACAGGAAGAACACGGCGACACAGGGATATGAGGACACAATATTATGGGGACCAGGGTGGGTATGGGGACATGTATGTACGTTGAACCTTTTGCACCGTATGTAGCAAACCGTGGAAATTGAAGGTGTGGAGGAATAACAACAAACTGAACACAAAAAGCAGTTTTGAAGAAGTGAGTTTGTAGATTTTAAAGTGTATAGCTCTCGTGGCTTCCTAATATCAGAAGGAAGAGCCTTCCAGATGGCCGCAGAAGCGCATCTGAAAGTGCACGATCCAGTGACCCGCAGGATTGTGGGGTCCAGGAGGACTTTGAATTGGGAGGATGTTGGTAATCACTGAGATTTGAGATTCCAGCGATAAATTGTGATCGTACACATGCATATCAGGGGACAAGAACTTTTGGGATTTAGGAATCTGGAGGATCGGGAGGATCTGGGGGGGACCCCGGGAGGGTCTCACAGGACCACGTGCCCATCGTGTCCATCCAGGTCATGACCTGGGTTCCCGTTTTCACCTGTGCCTAGGACAGTGACGCGCGCCGCAAAGGCCCAACTGTCCCGGCTGTGGCACTCCACCAACATCTACCTGCACCCGCCCGTACACGAGTACGCGGAGAAGCTCGCCGCCCTGCTGCCGGAGCCACTCAAGGCATCACACGCACACGCATGTTCACACACACACACATAGACGAAGGAAGGACCCCCCCCCCCATGTAGCCCTTAACAGACTGCTGGGGCGAGTGCTTTTAGCGAGTAGACCGGCATGGCACACAAGGGGGTGAGTGGCCAGCACTACGTCTGGCTGCCTTTGTTTCCCCAGTGGCGATGTTCACACATCGCACCAGGTACGCATTTGAGGCTGAGTATACACAGACATGTACATACCTACAATTAGCATGGTTGGCTACGTACGGTGCGAAAGAAGTTCAACATATCTAGACAAAACAAAGTGATGGTGGTTTCCTGCTACTCAAGCAAGCGTTGAGACGTTGGTGCTCATCCCCTTGTTAACTGCGTTACAGAGCCAGCGGTGGAAAATTCCACATTTTATATGGCGGGGGGCAAGTATATCCATCGCACAACCCAATCAATGATTTGAACTCGTGATCTTCCGACTGTGAGCCGTTCACTCCTCCGCTGAGCCAGCAGGTCGGATTATACAAATACACCGGTGTACTAACCACCTTTGCACCATGGGCCTCACCAACATGCTTATCCTTGTGCGTGCGTGTGTGCGCTGTGTGCGTGTGTTTTCTCCCAGGTTATATACTTCACCAACAGTGGCTCAGAAGCCAACGACCTGGCCATGTTCATGGCGCGCGCCTACACCGGCAACTTCGACATCCTTTCATTCCGGTGACGCTCGCACCGGAACCACTCACTGCACCACCAGACATTACAGCCCCATGCGCCTAGACTTGGCGTATGCGCCGTGGGAGCATCACCACCTCGACAGCCGCCAGTGGTGACTGCCAGGAGTGTGTGTGAGTGTGTGGATGCAGGGCTGTGTATGTCGGTGCGTGTGTGTGTGCAGGGGTGTGTGTATAGGTCGTCTCAGCCTCATATGAGTATCTGGTGCGGTGTGTAAACATCGCCACTAGGGAGACAAATGCAGCCGGGCATGGTGTTGACCACCCACCCCCTCGGGTACCGTGTTGGCCTTTATAGGAGTTCGCTAACAGCACTTGCCCGAAAAGTCTGTAAAGGCTTCATCTTCTTGGTTCTTTCGGTAAAGTCACGTAGAATGGAAATAATAAAAAAATAAAACATTAAATAATTCTCATGACGTTTCGGCCACAACGCAAGCAGCCGTCCTCAGGTGGAGAACAGGTCTCTTGAGAAGACAGAGTCTGAATGACACACCCCAGGCTTGGAGCGTCTATTTAAGCTGGGATGGAGGGGGGAAGAGCGCCTTGACAAAATAATTTGCAAATCAAGAGGAACTTAGCATATTTATGGGGAATGCAGATATGCGATTAGTACTACTTGTGAAATGCGTAGTAGGTTTGGCGGGGGGTTTAAAATCATATTATGCCCATGCATTATGCAGGATTAGCAGCATCAAAGGGAGGCACCCATATGGAAGCTTACCTAAAACCAGATTCCCACCACTATCCATCCCAGAAGAATTCCCTCATCAAGACAATATATCATAGAGCCAAATGCATCTCCGACCAGGAACACATTGCCAGTGAACTCAAACACGTACGCCAAGCTCTTAAGGCTAATGGTTACTCCGACTACACAATCCGTAAAGCCATCACTCCAACCATCAAGAAGGATCCTGTTGAGGAGTCTTTCAAAACCATCACCTTACCCTACATTGCTGGGGTCACAAAAAAGATCTCCAAAATCTTGATAAAACACAAGATCCAGGTCCGATTCAACACAGTACATAAAATCCGTGATCTGGTCCTGTCTGTAAAGATGTGGTTCCAGACATACAGTACCCTGGCATCTACAAACTAAGTTGCCTCTGTGGTAGCAGTTATATTGGAGAAACCAAACGACATGTCTCGGACTACATCCGTGAACATAAAGCAGACTTGAAACACGATAGGACAAACACCTCAGCCGTGGCAGATCACTGTTACAATTCAGTGGGCTCATATGATATTGACTTCTCCAAGACAGAGGTTCTCTGCAAGCCATCTGGCTACCATGAGAGATTCGTTCATGAGGCGATCCACATATACAAACACAGAGACAATTTCAACCGAGAAGATGGATTCTGGCTCAGCAATCATTGGAAGGACGTAATAAACCATTTCGGAGCTTAACTGATTGTGTTCACGTTTACGGTGACTTTCAGACCGCAGTCCACTCACTGGCATTGACTATAATCTCGTATTCTCCGCAGGGAATGGATTCTTTGCTCCGCTGCAAGTCTCTTACCACCACTCTCCCATTGACATATTTCGTTGCTTCCTCTTAGTATCTCTCACGCGACGGTCAATGGTATAGTGTATAGCGGATTGTATAATAATAAATAGTATAAAATTGTAATGTTTAATACAATGTACAAAGTAATATATAGTATCGTAATTGTATAGTGAATATACAGCAGTGTGATATACAATAGGGTGGGTAGAATAATACATAGTGTATATAGTACGGTGTAGACCCGTGTGATGTAAGAGAATAAAGTTTAGCGTGAAGCATATTATATTTTTTGCGACATAGAATTGTAATGTATTACTTACTGTTAGTAGCTCAGCTTATTGGAGAGTATATTTAGTATACTGATGATACTATGTAGTTTATACTTTAGTTGTTTACGTGGTGGTTTAGTTACTGCAGCTACATACTATTAACATTCCTTCCCTTTTCGATTTAAAGCTTTCGTGACTGCAGGGATTCATCTTCTTGGTTCTTTCGGTAAAGTCACGTAGAATGGAAATAATAAAATAATAAAAATAAAACATAATAAAATAATTATCACGACGTTTCGGCCACAATGCAAGTATCCGTCCTCAGGTGGAGAACAGGTCTGTCGAGGAGATAGAGTTGAATCCCTGCAGTCACGAAAGCTTTAAAACGAAATCTGTTACGGCTATACGGGTAGATATTTGTCATTGTGTGTAAGTGTGTGATTTACCCGTATGCCCGTGTGTGTAGCGGGGGCTATCACGGTGCCAGTCCTTACACCATGGGCCTCACCAACGTTGGCTCCTACAAGTACAGCGTCCCCAACGGCTTTGGCTGCCACGCCGTGAGCACACACGCGCTCGCGCAACACATCACACACACACACTCGCATCTATTGACACGATACACACGCTCACCCTAAGTCGATTCGGCCTTAAGTGAGACAAAGGCGGCTGGGCGTTGTGCGGGACATACCCCCCCCCCCCTCATGTGCCTGCCATCCTTCATAGGTGCTCGCTAAAGGCGACTGCCCCAACAGCCTGTTTGGATATACGGGGGCATCTTTGTCTTTGTGCCGCAGGTGATGTGCCCGGACGTGTACCGGGGGCTGTGGGGTGGCGCTCACTGCCGCGACTCCCCCGTGCAGACGACGCGGCCTTGCGCCTGCGCTCAGGGTGTGTTGGCATCGCCACGACCTGCACAGACATCCCGAGCACTAACACCCTACACAGCCTGAGCACTAACACCCTTACACACCCTGAGCACTAACACCCTACACACCCTGAGCACTAACACCCTACACACCCTGAGCACTAACACCCTACACACCCTGAGCACTAACACCCTACACACCCTGAGCACTAACACCCTTACACACCCTGAGCACTAACACCTTACACACCCTGAGCACTAACACCCTACACAGCCTGAGCACTAACACCCTACACACCCTGAGCACTAACACCCTACACACCCTGAGCACTAACACCCTACACACCCTGAGCACTAACACCCTACACAGCCTGAGCACTAACACCCTACACACCCTGAGCACTAACACCCTACACACCCTGAGCACTAACACCCTACACATCCTGAGCACTAACACCCTACACACCCTGAGCACTAACACCCTACACAGCCTGAGCACTAACACCCTACACACCCTGAGCACTAACACCCTACACACCCTGAGCACTAACACCCTACACACCCTGAGCACTAACACCCTACACACCCTGAGCACTAACACCCTACACACCCTGAGCACTAACACCCTACACACCCTGAGCACTAACACCCTACACACCCTGAGCACTAACACCCTACACACCCTGAGCACTAACACCCTACACATTCTGAGCACTAACATGCTACACAGTTTTGGGCACAAACCCCAAATCCGATAGCCCTGATCCTACCTCCGCAATGTTATAACCATAACCTTAATCCAGTCAGCGAAGGTCATCAGCATCGAGGCCATGGTCCTCAAGACACAGCTTCGTTGGGCAGGGCACATCGCCAGGATGGAGAACCACCGCTTGCCTAAGATCGTGCTGTATGGGGAACTGTCCTCTGGCCATCGCGACATAGGTGCACCACGAAAGCGATACAAAGACTCCCTGAAGAAGTCCCTCACTGCTTGCTGCATCGATCACCGTCAGTGGGCAACACAAGCAGCTGATCGCAACTCCTGGCGGCACACAGTCCACCAGGCCACCTCCTTCTTCGAAGATACCCGCAGGGCCCGTATGGAGGACAAAAGGAGAAGGAGGAAGAACCATGATCCCTCAGCACCCATCCCAGATGAGACCTATACTTGCAGCTGTTGTGGCAGGACCTGCTTGTCCCGCATAGGCCTCTTCAGCCACCAGCGTGCCTGCAGAAGACGTGGATGCCCTTCCTAGATCTTCGTTCGCGAAGCCAAGCCATGATGGTGATGAATCCAGGCACATGAGCAGCCTCAGACACACCACCACAACAATAGCCCATACCCTAACACTAACCCAGTAACACAGACAATCTCACACACACACGCGCACAAACCCCCGACCCCAAAATCTGACCCGAAACCCTTGACCTAACCCCTGACCTGTCCTATCAGGCTCGTGCCAAGCCCAGGATAATTACCTGGAGCAGCTGGCGGAGGTGTTTGCCACGTCTGTGCCCAAGAAGGTGGCGGGTTTCTTCGCCGAATCAATCCAGGTGGGTTCGCCGGCCCTGGCAGCTGCTGGGCGTTTACCGATTCCTGCTGGAGGTTAAAACGAACGAGCCATGGGCTGGAGAGGAGATGAGCGGATTAAACTCGCCCCTGTGGTGAAGGCTCCGCGGAGGAAGTCTTCCTAGCAGTTTGAGGCGGTTGCCTTCCGGTAACGTAGACAAGTTGCCTCTAACAGCGGATGGCAAGAGGAGTGATGCTTGCAACAATGAGTGGGAGCACCGGGTGACCTGGGTCTGTCCCGTGACCTCCTGCCAGCGAGTCTTCCACCGCACTTCATGTGATGGCCTCGAAGTGCACCTAGCCCAGGGGTTGGAAACCAAAATAACAAGAGCCATTTGTGTTTTCGAATTCTGTAAAAGCCTCAATATTTCACGAGCTGCAATGCATGTGAATACGACACAGTGGTCTTTCATAATTAACTTCATGAAGCAGCTCTTAACGAGCCGCATGTGGCTCCGGAGATGTATTTTGATGACCCCTGACGGAGCCAGAGAGATTTGATTCCTGGTGGGTGCTGTGATTCATCATGGGTGCTGTGATTGATTCCTCCTGGATGCTGATTCCTGCTGTGTGTGTGCAGGGCGTGGGTGGTTCCGTTCAGTACCCGCGTGGATACCTGGCCGAGGCGTACCGAATGGTGCGTGCACGGGGCGGCCTGTGCATCGCCGACGAGGTGAGACCCACCACGATCATCATCATCATCATCACTACACGTTGGTGTGTGTACATGTGGGTATAGATGGGAGTGTTATTGTAGTGGTTAGCGCATAGAGTTCGATTCCCGCTCACGACCAATAAGTGACGAATATTTTAACCGGTCCTAAGGGCCTCCCCTAGGTTGACTTAGCCTTAAATTAGTACCCATCAACACTAGGGCATGGTGTTGGCCACCCAGCCTCCCGTGCACCGTGCCGGCCTTCATAGGTGCTCGCCAACAGCACTTGCCCCAACAGCCTTGTTAAAGGTCTACGCGGTGGGGGGGATCTTTAGTGCATATCATCATCTGCGTCGGGTGCTGTGTGTTGCAGGTCCAGACGGGCTTTGGGCGTCTCGGGAGCCACATGTGGGGCTTTGAGTCTCATGGTGTGGTGCCCGACATCGTCACCATGGCCAAGGGAATCGGCAACGGCTTCCCTCTCGCCGCCGTCGTCACCAGCGCCGGTAATGCGCACGGGACGGACGCGGCATACAGTGGTGCCACGCAACGGTCGCTCGCTCACCACACCCTCAACACCGCGGTCACTCGCACGCTCACGTGAGTGATACTACACGATACAACACACACGGCACGCATTGCACAGTAATCCTGCACACCCACACATCACACGACACAACCCTCGCTCGCACAGCAATGCCATACTCGCACACAGATCACTCTCACATTACACAGCGAATACCACATTCACACTACGCTCACACCATAGTGATGCCATACCACACTCGCATTATGCTATACACGTACACACCAAACACATCACTGCCACGCACTGCACATACGCGGCCCCTCCCAGCCGCTGAACATGTGGTGAGTGGTGGTGCAGTGGTTAGCGCCCTGTGCCCCGAACTTGAGGGCCCGAGTTAAATTCCCTCTCACGACCAATAATGTAAGCCTGTCCTGGGCCTCGCCTAGGTCGTCAAATGAGTACCCGGTGCAGTGTGTAAACATCAGCATTGGGGAGACGAAGGCGGCCGGACGTGGTGGCGGCCACCCACCCCGTCTTGTGCCGTGCTCGCTGACAGCACTTGCCCCAACAGTGTAATGTTCAAAAAAGACCACACGGGGGACCTTCGTTTTTCTGGGCACGTGTGCAGAGGTGGCGAGCGTCATGAGCCAAGCGCTTCACTTCAACACATTCGGCGGGAGTCCCCTCGCCTGTGCCGTGGGCTCCGCCGTGCTCGATGTGAGTGCAGCACCCCTCATGGGGTCAGGGTTCGGCACGGGGTCACGTGCACTCCAACCCTGGTCCCAACCTCTTCGATCCACCTCCCGCTTGGCCTGCCTCTCGGCCTCCACCCTGGTGCTTCATTGTTCCGTCACCCTTTTCTTCTTTCCCATGGGGCTTCCTCGCTTCTTGCAACACATCCTTGGGCATCCCGAGTCGATGTCGTTCACGAACATTTTTTTTTATTCCAGATCCCGCATTCATCCTGCGCTCGGCAAGAGTGTAAAACGCGAGTTTGGAGTACTAATTTTAAATTAAGGGAAGAAAAGTCAAACAGTTTGGTACCAAACTGTTTATTGCTAAATATACATAACCTGCGATATTTTCTTAGTTAAAAAATGCACGTGTCCATATTTGCAAACTTCTTAATCAATATTAACACGTCAATCTTCATTCATAAAACTAAAACCTGAAAAGCATTTCCCTCTTCTGACACTCTGTACTGTTGAGCACAGGCTCGGCGGTATCCACTTGCAACCACACGAGTCCTGTCATGCCCTCACATGCCTCCCACCACCGCATGTCCCCTGCTGCGTCTTCACGTTTGTCCCCGTCCGTGTGCTCGTGCGCAGGTCATCGAGGAGGACGGGACTCAGGCTGTGTGCTTTGAGGCCGGGGGGCGGCTCCTGGCTGGGCTGGCTCAATTCCGTGACGAGTTCGAGGTGGTTGGGGACGTGCGCGGCAAGGGGCTCATGATTGGTGTTGAACTTGTCACCGACAAGGTACGATGGCAGACAGACAACCGGACACACATACATCTGTACACATTGATACATGCACAGACACATACGGGGGTGTACCGATACAAACACACCGCTCGCTACTGGACATCTATGAAAAAGAGGTTAATAGCTCATCGGATTTGTCCAGGATAAAGATTATGATTATGAAGCACACAGGTGCAAGTACACACGCGTGAGGAAATGCACAGATACACGCGTGAGGAAATGCACAGATACACGTGCACACGCAGATGCATGCCAACGCAGGGTGCGTGGGCGCGCCTCGTACGTCCACCGTGTTCGAGTGCCGCTCTGCTGTGCGCTTGCTCAGGCCAGCAGGACGCCGCTTCCGGCGGCGCAGATTAACGAGATCTGGGAGGACTGCAGGGAAATGTCGCTCCTCATCGGAAAGGGCGGCGTCTACGGACAGGTGAGGCCAGGAGGGGGCGGTTGCTGGGTGGTGGGGATTCGAGTGGGGATGGGGGTCTTGGAGGGGATGGGGGTCTTGTGGCGATGGCAGCGTCACAGGAGTGGTATGTGTGCCCCGGTGCCGCAGGTGTTCCGCATCAAGCCACCCATGTGCATCACCACCGCCGACGTGGATTTTGCGCTCGCCGTGATGCACAGGGCCCTGAGCAACCACCGCGAGCGCCACGCCGCCTAGACCTGGTCATGCCACCGCACAGCCGCCCCAACCGCACGGCCACTCGACACAACTACACCAGCCTACTATGCAACACCGCCACCACTTTGCCACACCATGTAGTCAAACCACCTAACTGCACTACACAGCCACACAATGCTACCACCACCGCCACTTAGTCACACTCTGCAACCATCCTACATGGCCACCACCACCATGTGGCTACACCAAGTGACTACCTAACTAACCCACCCCACCCCAAACCGACCTTGTTGTTTTTAAAGGCCGACCATGACCGCAGGCCAGCAACAAGCAGGTTTGAATTCCAGATGTGAACGAAAGCAAACTGGTCTTGAGGCCAGGCTATGGAGACTTCAGCTATGGGGATGACAGCACTGACGATAGTACAGCAGCTAAGAACATGCGTCTCGATTTGAGAAAGGTTATAGCAACTTGAGAAACAAGAGGATGGGGGAGGGAGGTCCAAGGTGGAGGAGCAGTGCGGGGGCAAGAAGTAAGAGAGAAACGTGAACCAACGTGGTTGAGCACGGCAGGGATAAAACGGGTCCTTAGCATGGGCAGAGGTGTAATGGCTGCATTTTCATGGGAACAATGACAGTGAAATTTGTGAATAAAAGAGAGAAAGGGGAGGGGAGGCCACTAAACAGCGTGAGAGTGAGCACAGGGTCGTCAATCATGCGAACCGCTTCACGTTGCTTGTGTGACGCCGAGTTGGGCGCTCCTGTTCAACAGGAACTCAACTACGCCTGTCAGCCACGCCACACCACCTCGCCAGCACAACGAGCCAAGCCCAATCAACACTACTTAAATCCACACCATTCGATCCATCAGCCTTACTCACACCACCTCACCTGACCCATACCACCTCACTTTGCCGACACTAGCCGATTCTCACTGCTCCGATCCCCCAATGACAGCCACAAAACAGTGATTCGTAAAAAAATAAATGAAAATAAACGACCTCCCACTACTGTGCCGCAAGTGTCTCTCTGTGAAAGCGGCAGTACAATTCTACAGAGCAGCAGCAGCAGCATTTGAAACGACAGGACCCGCTTGGCCCAAGCTCCCAGCTGGGCCACCACCCCCACCGTATTTTCACGAAGAATCGACCCTCACCCCTACTCCACACAGCACCACCACAGACTGCACGTGCAACGCCGTGACTTTACAGGGTTTATCTCCGAAAAAATAATAACAAGGCTGGTTAAGAGGCAGAGGGGAGGGGGGGTTGCCCAGGGGCTGTGCGGCTATTTCCGCTTGTGTTTGCCCTTCTTGCCGGGCGCTGCTGGCGCCGTGGGGGCTGTGGGGTCGGCGGTGCGGGGGCCGGTGTGCCCGGTGCTTGAACAGCCGGTTCCGGGAAGAGAAATCCTGCCCGCAGGTTGCGCAGCCCAGAGGCTCCTGTTGTGACACCGGCAAACGTACACGTGCGCACAAATTCCCCCCCCCCCCACGTGCCCCCCACGTGCCCCCCTCCGCACACCCCGATGCCTTCCTGCTGTGTGCATCACATGCGCCTCACCTGGAGCTCGTTGCGTCGCCACCTTTCCTCGCACGCTTCCCCTCCTTCCTCGTGGGCTCCGTCCCCTCTTCTTTCTTGCCCGCCGTCTCTGGTGCCCCCGGGGGGCCTACCCCTCCCTGGGGGTCCTCCGAGGTGGCTTCTAGCCACGGTGCACTGTGGCCGTCTGGCCTGGCGTTGTGGTCGCAGTGTGCCGTTTCGTCTGCGGTACCGTTAGTCTGTGCTGCGGTGTCTTGGTTGGGCACGGTGCAGGCAGTGCTGGGGGGGGGGGGGGGTGTGCAGTGCGGGGTTGGGTGTGGTGTGGTGATGGGGGTGTGCGGTGCGTGGTGAATGGCGTCAGCGCTCCGAGCGGATGTCACCGGGCCCCATCATCTCTTTCTCTTCTAGGGCGGCAGCGGCGGCATCCTCAGCATCGAAATTATATTATCACCTCCATAATCTTTCCCACCTCCACCATCAGCAACTTCTGCCTCGAGGCAGGAACCTCCTCCCTCCTCCTTCATGACACAGCAGGGAGCAGCAACAACAGAGTTAAGATAAAGGGTAACACAAGACAGATGGTAAGGGCAAGTTGAGAAGGGCATGGTGAGGAGGGTATGGTAATAAGGATATGGTAAGGTCACGGTGTGGTCAAGATGATGACAGAGTGAGGGCACGGTGAGGGCAGCATCTGGGGCCCCGCTCCGAACAGGAACGCGAACTCCTCGGCCGTCATCTGCTGCCGTAGCCATGCCACGTTGTCTCGGTGCTTCTTGGAGCGGTCGTGGCTCTCCTTCCTGAGCCACAACATGAGAGACTGCACCGCACTTCCGTGAACAACCGCGAGTAGCACCTATGAAGACCGGCAGAACCACGCCAGGCCACCTTTATCTCGCTAGTGGCGATATTTTACGCATCAGACCAAGTACTCGTTTGGGCCTGCACAGGAGTACTCACGCCTTGAGGCTCTTGAAAGCCTTGCTGCAGGGCGCGCAAGACAGCTCAAAGTCCTCCCGGTCCCGCGCAGCCTCCTCTGCACGCCACACATGGGAGGGAGGGTGGAGGGGTGGGCACAGTGCGCGCTTGAGTCCCGCACAGCAGGTGATCTCCCAGGACACTGCGGTGGCTAGGAGATGCTAACTACCTCGCCTGGTAAACAGGAGGGTCATGGGTTTGATCACCACCCGGAGTTTGCATGTTTCTCTTCCCGTGGCCGTGTGGATTTTTCTCCTCCGGTTTTCCCTCCACATTTAAAATCAACATCACATGTTTAGAGTATTTGGCTGATATACATTTCCACATGAAAAGCCACTTCGTTGAGCAATCATTTGTAGCCAGATGGCTTCTGAAAAGGAGCAATAAAGCTCAGTGGGCCTTATCTGGTAAATTAAATAAGTAATATTTAAAACAACTTTCTTAAAAAACGCTTTTATGAAATGTACTAGTAATGGCAGAACTCCACATCTCCAGGAAGTGGCCCCGAAGCTTGCCATAACGGAAGGGACCGTGGTGATTTACAGCCAATGTCAGTTGAGCGTGGACAATTAGACCCAAGCTGAAACATCTTATTTCTTCTTTTTTTATAAAAGTCTCCGTGCTCGCGCTTGCGAGGTATTTGGCTCTCGAACGGTGGGCTTGTCGTAGAAAAACATTTGCCAGGCAGCACGTCCTAAGGCTATTCTGTTTTCCCATCCCTAAACCTGAAAGTAGATTAATTAACACATTTGTGCCATTTCTTTTCATTATTTACTTATTGCGAGACCTCGACCGTACCAACGTACGACAATTGCATGGGGGGGGGCGGACCCTGCCAAGTGATGCATGTTAGCGAGAGCTCACGGGGACATTTCTTTTTATGCGTTTTACAGCCAATACATACACACATAACGCTGCGTATATTTCTTCACAGTCTGATGTCCTCTTCGCCCCCCCCCCCCCCCCCCCCCACATGATGCGTCCACTTTATACTACAGACTTCGTTGATTATATTTTAGTGCTTACATAGCATTATTCTTGCACGGGCGGGGGATGCTGGAGGGGGTAGCGGCCCAGCCCCTAGCCTGGCAACGTGCCAACTCCGCCACCTGTAGGCCAGGACGGGGGCTACGCATGGGACAAGGCCTCAACATGCCTATGGTATTTACACCATTGGAACCTCATTTGCCAGTAAAAATATAATTGTTTTTTTACCCTTCTATCTGGCAACAAAACTGACACCTTTTTTTACAAGGAGTCATGTTTACATAGATGAGGTTCCAATGGTGTAAATGCTTACCCCAGCTCTCATACTCTGATGGTGCATTGTCTTTGAGTTGTGCGCCTTTTGGCGTCATCTGATCCAACCCATGTGAGACTAGGCTCTAAGGAAAGCTATCTCGGGTGTGGACCAATCAACTTCAAGGACAGTGCACATTATCAGAGTTATGTTTTTTGTTTGCATTATGACTGCAGGTATTGTGGTCTGCGTACGCTCGCTTGCGGGGGATTTGGCTCTCGGACCGTGGGGTTTTACCAAGAAATTTTTTTGCCGGGAGCCACGCCCCGAGCCCCGCGGTGGGAATAGGTATTTCCGTTTCCCTAAACTTTAAAGCGGTTGAATTTTTGATTTAGTGTGATATCTCCATATTTATTTACTTATGCCGACTGGTACGCGACAAAGCACGCCGTTGCGCATGCACGAGACGCTGGCCAAGGGTTGCCCCTGGCAACGGGCAGCGCGCCTTCGCTGCAGGGTGGACGCCATTTCTCATTCCCGTTCGAAATGCACAAAAATATACACGCGACGCTGAGGTAAATTCATCAAAGTTTCACGTCCTCTTCTCTCCCCCCCCCCCACTACAATGTGTGCAATTACTCTTATAGGGTCGTTAGATAATAAAATTATAGTGATTAGACAGTATTTTTCTAGCTCGGGGGGGGGGGGGGGGGGGATAGCGACCCAGCCCCCAGCCTCGGCCGGCTGGGCAATCTAGGCGAGGCCGGAGGCTCTGCACGTTACTAGGCCTCGACACCCCACTCTTGTCAGGCGAGGATTTTGTGCTATAGAGTCGATATACCCAGCGTTGCCCGGGAGAAAAATACATTTTAAAACTTCTGAAAACTTCAAGACATAACATACCAATGAAAATAAAACCATCATCTTACCCTACATTGCTGGGGTCACAAAAAAGATCTCCAAAATCCTGATTAAACACAAGATCCAGGTCCGATTCAACACAGTACATAAAATCCGTGATCTGGTCCCGTCTGTAAAAGATGTGGTTCCAGACATACAGTACCCTGGCGTCTACAAACTAAGTTGCCTCTGTGGTAGCAGTTACATTGGAGAAACCAAACGACATGTTTCGGACCGCATCCGTGAACATAAAGCAGACCTGAAACACGGTAGGACAAACACCTCAGCCGTGGCAGATCACTGTTACAATTCAGTGGGCTCACATGACATTGACTTCTCCAAGACAGAGGTTCTCTGCAAGCCATCTGGCTACCATGAGAGATTCGTTCATGAGGCGATCCACATATACAAACACAGAGACAATTTCAACCGAGAAGATGGATTCTGGCTCAGCAATCATTGGAAGGACGTAATAAACCATTTTTGATCTTAACTGATTGTGTTCACGTTTACGGCGACTTTCAGACCGCAGTCCACTCACTGGCATTGACTATATATCTTGTATTCTCCGCAGGGAATGGATTCTTTGCTCTGCTGCAAGTCTCCTACTACCACTCTCCCATTGACATATTTTGTTGCTTCCTCTTAGTATCTTTCACTCGACGGTCAATGGTATAGTGTATAGCAGATTGTATAATAATAAATAGTATAAAATTGTAATGTTTAATACAATGTATAAGGTAATATATAGAATTCGTAATTGTATAGTGAATATACAGCAGTGTGATATACAGTAGGGTGGTTAGAATAATACATAGTGTAATATTACACTATGTATTATTCTATAGTAATACAGTATATAATTTAATGTTGGATTTGTCTATGGCAGTATATAGTACGGGGTAGACCCGTGTGATGTAAGGGAAAAAAGTTTAGCTGGAAGCATATTATATTTTTTACAACATAGAATTGTAATGTATTACTTACTGTTAGTAGCTCAGCTTATTGGAGAGTATATTTAGTATACTGATGATACTATGTAGTTTATACTTTAGTTTTTTACATGGTTGTTTAGTTACTGCAGCTACATACTATTAACATTACTTCCCTTTATTAATGCTACTGTTGGGGCCGCTGGTCCCAGAGGTCCCTCCCTGCTGCGTGCCGATGGCAGGGGCTCCGCCGTTTGCCGACCCCTTGCTGGTCTGCGACCAGCTGCTGCTGTCACTGGGCTCATCGCCCGACGGCTCCCCTCCCTGGTCCGCCCCTCCGCGAGCTCGTGTGAGAGGCATAGCTCGCCGCCCGCTCTCGTTCACCTGTAAACGCTGCGTTGTCTCTCCACCAATCACATGCTCTGAAC